TGGACTGTACCAGAAGTGAATACAGGCACGAGAGCGAAAGAGGAAAGAAGGCGAGCAGAGGAAGACGGGGCCTGATCAGACTGAAGGCCGGCGCGGGGGCGCCGAAGAGGTACATGCAGCTGCGTCCAAGCAGCGGGGCCATCAGCTGGAGCTGGAAGACGTTATAGGCCCTGTAGGCATCGAGGCACGCCAGGAAGTCTGGGGACAGGGGAAGGCGCAGCAAGACAGCGGCTCGAGAGGAAGAATCGAACTGAAAAGGGAAGTCCTTGGTGCCAGTTGGTTGGAACTCTGGTTGTTACGATGTGAAAACGGGAATGACGCCAGCAAAACATCGGCTGGAACGAGCCACACTTTTACGGGAATTCTTGAAGTGGCCGGACGAAAGATTGGGTACAATGCCAAGTAGGGCCGTATTTCAACGGGCACAATCGGCCCGAAGCTGAGCTGAGGACCCAGGGTTCAGGGTGGAACCAAAGCAACATTGGCCAGACAGACGCACTAGGTGCAATGCCGAACAGCACCAGGAAGACTCTGCGGGGGCAGCCTGGAAGCAGCCGCCAAGGCAGTTGAAACAGGGTATTAGGCGTGCGGGGAGCCCAGAGGAAGGGAACCGGACCAGCGTGGGAGAGCCAGGTAACCAGGGGGGCGAACAGCCCAGACAGCGCGGGAGAAAACTTAGTAACGCGGGCGTAATGCCCAGATTCCGTGAGTGTGTGTGTGTGTGTGTCTGTCAGGGAACTGGGCAATTGGGTGACGGACAACTGGGGCGTGCTTTTACCGCACTATCGGCTGCAAGCAACACCTGTCGCACCCATCCGTCGACCAGAAGTCGGTACTCAGTACTCCAGCTCACGCCCCCTCCACGATGCGCAGCGTTAGCCCAGCTGGGTGCGCAACTGTTGTGGGCAGTGGCGGCGTGGGGAAAGCGGCGCAAGTCCCGAACTGGGTGCGAAGCGGACGTCCATGGCCGCAGGGCCCCAGCCAGGGCCCGCTCAGCCGCCCGCGTCGGTGCCGCGGCAGCACGACGCCCTGTCGGCACACGTTGCAGAGTCGTGTCTTGCGGCCGCAGGCCCACAGAGGAATGCCGAGCTTTGGACGTCCCACCGTCTCCCAGGGTCGACTGAAACGCGCCTTCGCCCCTTGTCTTGTGCCCTGCAGAAGGCGCGCCGCCCACTGATGAAAGGGGGCCCGGCTTCACGCTGGAGTCGCCGGACTTAGCCGCGAGGCGTCTCGCCGCTCATGGGTTCCGACCGAAGCAGCTCACGAGCCCCTCGATACAGCGCGTCCACGTTCACGGCCGGGGCTATCTCGCGACCACCACGCTGCTCTCTGGGTGCTCCAGGGCTCAAGTGGGGAATCGACTACATGATGGATTTACCCAGCAAAAGTCAATTCTGGGGTAAATCCATTCTGTAGCCGATCCCCCACGCGAAGGGTTCTCGCTTGCGCGGGCCGCCACTCCCGCCCTCGCGGCGGCAGCAATCCGCTCGAGGGGCGTGGCAGGGGCGCGCTGTCCGTCGCCAGGGGCTGGGGTTGCGCTGGACTGGCCTGCCGGGCGCGGTCTCCAAGTCGGGGGCATCGGCTGTCGCGACCCCGGACGCGGCGACGGGTGGAACGTGGATCGGGGCGTCGGGGGGGGCGCCGAGGGGGCCTCGGGCAGCCCGCCCTCAGCGTCGCAGCCCTCGCCCCCCTGGCGAGGGCGCCGAGCAAGGCTGGCGCGGGCGGGGGATGGGTCGCCAGCCGCCGTCGAGGCCGGGCTTCAGGAGAAGGACGGCGGCTGCCAGCTGCGGGCCCCGCGGCTGCTGCGTGCCTCAGAGGGTGGTGGGCCAGGCTGAGGAGCGGGGGCGGCATCGGTGGCGGGGCGGGGGCCTCGGTCGCTGTCGGCGCCGCGATCGGCATCCCACGCCTGGGCCCCTTCTCCCGGGGGGTGGCGCGGGGGGGACGATCGGCGTTGGCCTCCAAGGCTGTGGGGCGGGTGGTGCCCGGGGCAGCGCGGGCGCGTGCGAGGTTAGAGGCGCCGGGCGCGCCGTCGGGGCCCGGGGCGGCGCGGATTTGGCAGGGGGCGGGGGGGTTTGGCGCGCCGCTTTCGCCGGCCTCCCTGGCTGGGACTCCGTCGGCGGGGGCCCCGTCGTCGTCGCGGAGGTGCTCGCTTCGCCGCAGGTTTCTGGATGCGGCCGGCCCCGCGCCGTCGTCGCCGCAATCCCGCTTCTTGCGCCCGCAGCGCAGCAGGAAGCCGCTCGGCCCTTTGCCCCCCCCCCCCCATGGGCTCGCGATGCGCCGCGCGCAGGGGGGATGTCCGAATGGCCGCTCAACCGGCCGCGTCGTCATGCGAGAGGCTGGGGGCGCCTGTCGTTCAGAGACTGGAAGTTCGCCGCCTCGCAGAGCGCGCGATCGGCCCACTCCGCGCGCGGTGGCGAGGGCGGAGCCAGGAGGAACCAGGGGTGTTTGGGTTCTGGGGTAGGCCAGGGCGAGACGGAACGAGAACGGAGACAAGGACGGAGGCTGCGTCTCTGGGACCAGAAGCGGGCGCAGTAGCGAGCCTGTCCCAGAGCAGTCTGTCTGCGGGCGCCTCGTCTCCTGCGTCTGAGATGCCGCCTCGGTCGCCCCGGCCTTCGTCTTGCCCTGGGCCCTGCTGCTTCCCCCGCAGAGTCGGTGTCGGGGGCGGGGCCGATGTCCCCCATTTCCCGTCCGTGCAAGGGTCGCTTCCCCGAACGGCGTCGTAATTCTGCATTGGGGTCTCCCAGTCGTCGGCTGAGCTGCCGGGGTGGCACCGAGCCGACGCGCCAGTGGAATGAGGCACGCGCGCGCCAACAACGCCGTGGCGCCGAGAGGCCGGATCAGTGGTTGGATGGCGATCGCATGACAACGTCACCTGGAGGCGAGGAACACGCCCCGTCGCCCTGCAGGGCTTGTCGCTGAGAAGGCCGCCTGCCGGCGGCGCCCGAGCGGCCGCTGCGCACCGCCGCCTCCGGCGAGGCGCCAGCAGCGGCAGCGCAAGGCAGCAGCTGCGCGCCGCCAGCGCCAGCCGCCGCCCGGGGGCGAGCGGCGGCAACGGCGGCGGCAGAGCCGGCGCCCGGGCTCGGCGGCCCAGCCCGCTGGGCGGCGGCCAGGCGCCGTTGCCGCCAGACCGGCAGGCAGCCAGCAGGCAGCGGTGACCATGGCAGGGGGGGCGGGGGCCAGGAAAAAGGGATGGGGGCCCTCTCGAAGCCCCAGCTGGCAAGCAGGAGGTCGGGGCCGACCTCCTACCCCTCGGCAGCGGCCGCCCTCGGCAGCGGCCGCCCTCGGCAGCGGCCGCTGCGGCCCGCGCGAGGCAGAGCGACTGGATCCAGAGGTGCTACGGGGAGCGGGATGAGCAGGAGGACGAACGGAAGGCGGAGGAAGGAACATGTGGGGGGCGACAACGATGACAAATATTCGGATGGGGCCCGCGCTGGATCGAGATCGAAATTCTGAACGACGAGAGTAAAGCTCCGATCGGGAAATGAGGCCCACGCTGCAGCGTGAGCCTCTTTGGACCGTGGAAAAAAAACTGGATGTAGCAACTGCATGTGGGAAACATGCAACAATCGAAATCGAGCGTGCTACAAACAATACGCGGCGAAGATCGGATATCTTTTGGACGGGGTCAAGGGAGAGAGGAGAGCATTCACACTGTTGAGTTGTAGAGGGAGGAGCGAGGAACACGAGGAGGAAAGGGGGGGTCAAAGGAGGGCGGGGGGTGGTGGAAGAGGAGGTGAGGAAGGAAGAGGAGCAGAGGGAGGAGGATGAAGAGGAGGAGGAGGACCAGAGTAAACCCAGGACGCGTCACCGGTACCGCCATGCCTTTCGCCCCAAGCCCCCCCCTCACAGGTCCGCACAAGCATTCTTTTCCTCTGCGGGAAGCGCTCCCTTGGAATGCCGAGAGTCCGGTCGGCCTGCCTCTCCGGCGAGACGCCGTTTCGCAAAGGCTCCGCCCTTCTCGAAGGCCCCTGCTTGAGAAGGAGTCGCCCTCCATCCGTGCAGCCGGGGGACCTTCTTTTTTTTCGGAAGTTCGTGCCATAGGGCTTGGTGGTGTGTGTGTGTGTTTGGCAGTTCCACGAAAGAGCCGCCTTTTGAGAGATAGCCTTACTCCATCCCTATTGTGATGGCCTCTGGCCAGTGCCGCCGATCCAGGGGGCTCCGGATTCGCTGATCCTCGCGGCTCTGCGGCCTCCTCCCTCCTCGATTCTTCCAGTCCTTTTTCTTCTCCATGGGGGGGTGCCTGGAGCGGTCCCGGGGGTGGTCCGGGGAGGGTTCCGAGGGGAGGGTCCTGGGGGCGACCTCTCCTTGTTGGAAGTTTTTAACAGAAGGTGCGAGGCGCCAGGGCGAGAGCCACACTTGGGAGACCACCAGCCCTTTCATCTTTGTAGCTGCCGGATAAAAGGAGGGCCCGCGGCGTGAAGGCGTTTGGAAATCACCGACCTTCCAGCACTGTGAAGGTTGGAAGCTGAAACAACGAATGCGTGTGGTGCAGAAGCAAGAACCGAAAATTGAAAGCGATCTGCCCTCCATCTTTGAGGCTTCTGAACGCATATAAAACGAATGTGCGCGGCGTTTGGGCGAAAGCCTCGTATTGGAAGCCGCAGGCCCTCCAGTGTAACCGCCGGATCTGTTCGCTTCATAATACCGTTCCGTAAGGAAGTCTCCAGCTAAATGCCAGGCCCCGCCTACTCAGACACGGCTGGTGATCCGACGGGGAGGCATGTTTTGGTAAATAGGAAAGATGGTAGAGGAGGAGGATGAGGAGGAGGAGGAAGAGGAGCAGAGGGAGGGGGAGGAGGAGGAGGGAGAGGAGGAGGAGGAGGAGGAGGAGGAGGAGGAGGAGGAGGAGGAGGAGGAGGTGCAGGAGGTGCAGGAGGAGGAGGAGGAGGAGCAGGAGGAGCAGGAGCAGGAGGAGCAGGAGGAGGAGGTGGGACGAGGAGGAGGAGGAAGGCGACGAGGAGGAGAACGAGGCCTCCCTCCCCTCTCCCCCTCCCCCACCAAAAACTGTCCAACAACCTTTTCAAAAAAAACCGTCCATTAGCCAGACGAAGGACCCAACCATATGCAGGCGTGAGTACCGCAATTGTGATTCCCTTTTTCGGTGGTGATCCCTATGGGGCAACGAACCGTGCTAGTGGTGTGCCGAAATGAATGGCGTGGTACGTTAACGCGAGCGAGAACGATTGATCTGAGTACGTAGGGAGACTGAGCGCGGGTGAATCTGAGCGCGAGTGCGTCTGACTGTGAAGGAATCTGCGTGCGAGCGAGTCTACGTGCATGAATGCGAGTATGCCAATGCATTGTGCAAATGTATATGAATGCTAATAGTTTGTGAATGACTGCCTCTGAGTACTCGTGACGCTGGGCGTGGCCGCCGCAAGGAGCTTCCCCGGGACTCCCCGACGGCATCGCCCGCGCGCCGCGACGCCACCGCGAGGATCGCGCCCGCTTCCTCCCCTTTGTTTTACTCCCTCTTTGCCCGCGCACTCAAAAGTCCAAAGCTGCGGGCGCAGCGCAGCGCGGAGTCCCAGCGACGCGCGCAGGTCGCCCCGGAGGGGTCCCAGCGACGCGCGCGGGTCGTCCGCTGCGCGCAGCAAAGAGAGCTAGCTGGCTGGCTGATAGCGGGCAAGGCTCTTGCCGCTGGGCAGAGCGACGACGGGCGAGGGAGGCGCAGAACTCCGACGGCCTCCGACGGAGGTGTACTGGGTGGGGGAAACGCGTGCGGACTGCGCCACGGGGACCTTCGGTGGAGCTCCCTACGGGGCCACGAAACGCGTGAAGGGTGTTCCGAAATGGGTGTGCGGGACGCATGCGGGCACACCCACTCGGACCTTCGGTGGAGCTCCGTATGGGGCCACGAAACGTGTGAGGGGTGTGCCGAAATGGGTTGTGCGGGACGCATGCGGGCACACCCACTGGGACCTTCGGTGGAGCTCCCTATGGGGCCACGAAACGTGTGAGGGGTGTGCCTACATGGGTTGTGCGGGACGCATGCGGGCACACCCAGTGGGACCTTCGGTGGAGCTCCCTATGGGGCCACGAAACGTGTGAAAGGGTGTTCCGGAAATTGGTTGTGCGGGACGCACGCGGGCACACCAACTGGGACCTTCGGTGGAGCTCCCTATGGGGCCACGAAACGTGTGAAGGGTTTGCCTACATGGGTGCGCGGGACGCATGCGGGCACACCCACTGGGACCTTCGGTGGGGCTCCCTATGGGGCCACGAAGCGTGTGAGTGGTGTGCCGAAATGGGCGTGCGGGACGCATGCGGGCACACCCACTGGGACCTTCGGCGGGGCTCCCTATGGGGCCACGAAACGTGTGAGGGGTGTGCCGAAATGGGTTGTGCGGGACGCATGCGGGCACACCCACTGGGACCTTCGGTGGAGCTCCCTATGGGGCCACGAAGCGTGTGAAGGGTGTGCCTACATGGGTGTGCGGGACGCATGCGGGCACACCCACTGGGACCTTCGGTGGAGCTCCCCATGGGGCCACGAAGCGTGTGAGGGGTGTGCCGACATGCGCACACCCACTTGGACCTTCGTTGGAGCTCCCTATGGGGCCACGAAGCGTGTGAAGGGGTGTGCCTCAATGGGTGTGCGGGACGCATGCGGGCACACCCACTGGGACCTTCGGTGGGGCTCCCTATGGGGCCACGAAATATGTGAAGGGTGTGATGAAATGGGTGTGCGGGACCCATCCGGGCACATCCAGTGGGACTTTCGGTGGAGCTCCCCATGGGGCCACGAAGCGTGTGAGGGGTGTGCCGACATGGGTGTGCGGGACGCATGCGGGCACACCCACTGGGACCTCCGGTGGAGCTCCCTATGGGGCCACGAAACGTGTGAAAGGGTGTTCCGGAAATGGGTTGTGCGGGACGCATGCGGGCACATCCACTGGGACCTTTTCAGCGGAGCTCCCTATGGGGCCACGAAACGTGTGAGGGTGTGCCGAAATGGGTGCGCGGAGGAGGAGGGGGAGGAGGAGAGGAGGAGAGAGGAGAAGAGACGCATGCCACCGTCTCTTCAAAGCGAGGACCCAACAACACAGGTTGGTTGGGAAGAAAACCGCCCAACAACCTTCCAACAACCTTGAAACATCCTTGCAACAAGAACCAGCACGTCCGAGAGCCTCCCGCCATGATTTCTTGTTCGCTGCGCGGGGATGCCTGGAACCTCCCTAGCTCTCTACTCTCCACGGCGAGGGCGCGCTTCCGCGCGCGCCCTCTTGCACAAGGCCCCCGACCCTGCTTCTCCTACTCCTGTTCCTCCACCGCCTGGAGATCCTCCTCCTCCTCCTCCTCCTCCTCCTCCTCCTCTTCCTCCTCCCCCTCCCCATAACAGATCGGAATGACAGATCCACGCGTGCGTGCACACAGGTCTGCAGAAACGACAAATCTGCTGCGCCACACGCACGTTGTGCGTGCTGAAGCGGATCCCTCCTCCTTGCCTTAGACGTGCCGTCCGTCGGGCCTCCTTGGCCCGTAGCGTCAGCACCCGCACGCGGGCTGCCCGCGCGATCAAGTACAGCGAAGCGACCCCGACGAAACTCTGGTCCAGCAGGACCCGCAGGAACCACGGGACGGGGCCGAACGTGGGGCCGAGGCTCCAGCAAGGGCAGGCAGCAGCTCCGACCTGGTCGGTTTCCGCCCCCTTGAGATCCTCCTGTTTTGCTCTGCCGTGCTCTTCTACGCCATGCCATGCCGTGCTCTACCATGCATCGCGCACCCTCTCGCGATCGTTGCCCTGCTCGACACCCGGCTGTGCGAACAGAGAGGATATCTACGCCGCGGTAAGGGACGGGAGGGACGGGTAGGGCGTCAGATATGACGCGAGCGCACCTGGCTTGCCCCCCTCCCTCCCCCCCCCTTTCGCGAGGCAGCGCGCGGCCATGGTACAGGCGGCCTCGTGCGACGTGCCGTCGCCCGCGCGGCGCTCCCCGGCTGCCCGGAGCGACGCGTGGCGGAGTGCGCAGCCGGGGGCTGGCCCCTCGCAGAAAGCAGCGCGCCGCCTGCCCCGCCCGGAGCAGGGGCAACGCTCGAGGGGGACAGGCTCAGGGGGGGGGGTATGGGCAAGTGTTCCACCAAGGACGGGGGAGAAGGGAGGGTGAGGAGGCCTTCCTCCTCCTCCTCCTCCTCCTCCTCCTCCTCCTCCTCCTCCTCTCTCTCCTCTGCCTCCTCCTCCTCCTCCTCCTCCTCCTCCCTCCTCCTCCTCCACTCTCCTCCTCTCTCCTCTCCTCCTCCTCACTCCTCCCTCCTCCTCCTCCCCTCCTCCTCCTCCTCCGTCCTCCTCCTCCTCTCCCTCTCCTACCTATTCGTAGTGGTGGTGGAAAGTGTGGAGTCTCACAGCGTGTGGGGGGGGGGGGCGAGTTCGAGGTCTTTCCGTGCGCGCGTGAGGTCTTCGGCGACTCTCCGGCCTCGGTGTGCTCTCCTGCAGCTGCGCCACGCCGAGCGGTTCGGGGGGGGGGGGGGTGCTGGCTGCTCCCTCCGTTTTCCTCCACTCCACCTCCTCCTCCTCCTCCTCCTCCTCCTTCTCCTCCTCTCTCCCTCCTTCCTCCCTCCTCCTTTTTCCTCCTCCTCCCCCTCCTCCTCCTCCTCCTCCTCCTCCTCCTCCTCCTCCTCCTCCTCCTCGTCCTCCTCGTCCTCCTCCTCCCCCTCCTCCTCCTCCTCCTCCGCCTCCTCCTCCGCCTCCTCCTCGTTCTCCTGGTCTTCGGAGAGCGTTCGGGGGGGGTCGGGGGGTGGGCTCGTCCCCAACGGTTGCCAGCGAGTCGAGTAATGACCTGAAGACTGGGCAATCGGGGCAGCGCTGGGGGGCGCGACGCGTGCTCAGGCCCAGGTGCTTTGATGATGTTGAAAGCGCTGGGGGCTTTTTTTCCGTCGTCAAGGTGTGCGCTGTTCTTGCTGTTTGGGGGTCAAGTGTTCCTCCGTGTCGGGATGATCGTTTTCGGTTCGGTTCCGTTTTGTATTTCCGTTGTTTGTTGGGTGCGGGGGGGCTGCTGTTTTTTTATCCCGTTCTGGTTGGCCACAAACCGAAAGTTGAAAACGGCCAAAAGAACACCCCAGCGTTGCTCAGGGCGGGGCGCATCGGCCTTCAATCGCCCATTGATCTCCGACAAGGGGCTCGATACCCCACCCCGCCCAGGACCCTGCGGATTCGCGGCCGGGGTCCCGTCGCCGACTTCTCGGCGATGCGCCGCCGATTCCAAGTCTCTGTGCTCCCCCCGGGCGCCAGTGTCCGCCTTGGAAACGTTCCTACCCCAAGCTCGGAGGATGCTGCGTGCGTGCGGAGGAAGTCCATACCCACGGAGCGCCCGCTCTCAATATGGACTCGCTCCGTCTGGGCCTGGCCTCTCCTGGTCTTGGCATCGCTCGGACGTGTGCATTTTTCCTTCGGCGAGGACCATCGAGGAGCATCCTTGATTATTTGTGGAAAAAACCACGCGCGAAACCGAAAAAAACACAGGGAATTGACGTCCGAGCGATGGCCAGTGGTAGGGTGCCACGTGTCCACACGGAGATAAGTTCGCACGGCGTGCGTGTGCTCGGTCTCCGTGTGGACCTGCTCCGTCTCTGCACCCTGCTGCTCTCGACGAGCCTGGCCGCAGAGCCCGTGCCTCGCCTCGGTGCCGCCGAGCGTCCCCGGACCTCCGGCCTGGTCTGCTCTTCGGCGGCGAGCCTGAGGGGGAAAGCGAGAAGGGGCGGGCCCGCTCTCAGGGAAGGCTCGGACGTCCCCCCGGCCTTCGAGAGGGTTCCTGAGCGTTCCCCGAAGACACCGAAGACTGTTCAGAAGGCGCGCACCACCACCACGGAGGAGGAGGAGGAGAAGGAGGAGGTACACAGGAGGCAGAGGAGGAGGAGGAGGAGGAGGAGGAGGAGGAAGAGGAGGAGGAGGAGGAAGAGGAGGAGGAGGAGAGGAGGAGGAGGAGGAGCAGGAGGAGGAGGAAGAGGAGTTAGAGGAGGAGGAGGAGGAGGAGGAGAGGAGGAGGAGGAGGAGGAGGAGAGGAGGAGGAGGAGGAGGAGGAGGGAGGGAGGAGGAGAGGAGGTACAGGAGGCAGAGGAGGAGGAGGAGCAGGAGAAGGAGGAGGCTCCCCACGGCCTCCAGAGCACCCTTCACGAGGTCCAGAGGGCCCCAGGGGCTCCAGAATGGAGCGAAAAGCTCGGGGCACCTTGGGCCAGGGGCACCCTTAGCAACCCCCGACCTCTTGGGGCGGCGCGTTGAACTAATCAGATCGTCTCGGACGGGGCTAGGACGAGAGGAGGAATCCGTTCCAGTGCGTTCTGGAGCGCTCTCAGAGAGAGTTCCAGAACGCTCTGAGAGGGCCGCGGCGCCCGAGACATCTTCTTCCAGAGCCGCCGGATCTCAGAGATCCCCGATTTATCCTCACCCGAATTTATTCAGGAGGGAAAACTACACACAGACACAATGCATCGTCAATTTCCCAGCACAGATTGGAAAACATGGGAAGTGGGGGGAAGACGAAAACCCGGGAAAACATTCGAAAATATGGGAGATCCTGGGATTTGTTTTTTTGTTGTGTGTGTGAATGTGTTTTGTTTATTTGTGTGTGTCCCTGGGCCCCTTAATTTGTTCTCTCCCTGGCTTCGCCTCATGTCTGGGCCCGTCCCCTCCACGGCCCTCTCCGCCCCTCCTCGTGCCCCCCCGGGGGAGGACGTATAAGACGTGCCGAGGCACCGCTGCCCAGTCCTCCCTCCTGGACGGAGCGCGCCCCAGGAGAGGTCCCCCGAGAAGCAGCCGTATCGGCACGGTCGGACCGAGGCATGAGATCTGGGTCGGTTCGGGGAGGGTAGCTGCCCTAGTGTTCGTCGTGCTCGTTGGATTGTCTCGTGCATCCCCGGGGAGGGTACCGTGCTTGTTGGATAGTCTCGTGCATCCCTAGGGAGGGTACCGTGCTCGTTGAATGTTCGTCGTGCTCGTTGGATGGTCTCGTGCATCCCTGGGGAGGGTACCCCTTGGATGCTCTCTGTGTGTTTTGGCCGCCCGACCGCTGGCACAGTAACCTCTGCCTCGCCGCCGACGAAACAGCGTGCTTTGGCCGGCGGAGGGCTCTCGGGTTCTTGGAGGATGCTCTTCTGTCTCAGGCCCGGCCGTAACCGTCCCTCCCCCCACGGACGGCAGAGCCGAGGCTCCGACGCCGCCAGCGGAGAGGGCACAACGGTGCAAACAGAACTCAGGAGGGAAAAACACACACTCACAGACACAATTCATCGGGGGAAGACGAAAATCCCCAAAACATTGAGAAATATTGGGAATCCTGGGATTTGTGTGTATTTGTTTGTGTCCCTGGGCCCTTTCAACAACCATTTCGATGGTCCGGACCGATTTCTCGGATCTGCGCCGGACCACTCCCGGCGGCGCCTCCGGCGCCACCCTTGGCGCACTCCGCGCGCCAGGGAGGGGGTCCAGCGCCGGTCCAAGGAACCCGCGCGGACCGCCAAAAGTTTTTGTTTTATGGATTTGATGTTTCTTCTTCTTCTACGTCGGTCGTCCGTCCTCTCCACTGCCCCTCCCCCCTTTCATTTCGCCCCCTCTCCTTTGCCTTCCCACTCCCTCCCGTCGACCTCCTCCTCCCTCCCTCCCCCCTCCCGCTTGGTTCCTGGCTCCTCCCATCCCGCCTCATCTTCCCCCTCCCTGATCCCCATTCACTACCTCTCCTCCCTCCTCCTCCTCCTCCTCCTCCTCCTCCTCCTCCTCCTCCTCTTCCTCCTCCTGGTCTTGCGGCGCGGAGGAGGCGAACCAAAAGCTTGTAAAATATCACCGAGATGCCACTCCTGCTGCCTGGTCCTCACTTCCTCTGCTCCTCATCAGTTCCCTCGGTCTGATCCCTTCTTCCGCTTCCTCCCTTTCGCCTCCTCCGCCTCCTCCTCCTCCTTCTCCTCCTCCTTCTCCTCCTCCTCCTCCTCCTCCTCATCCTCCTCACCCCCTCTTCCCTCATGATCCTGGTCCTTTCCCTCTCCTGTTTTCTCCTCGTCATATTCCTCCTCCCTCTCACCGTCGTCGTTCTCGTTGTCGTCCTCTGCCTCGTCCTCGTTCTCGTCGTCGTCGTCGTCCTCATTCTCCACCTCTTGCTGGACGACCTTAGGGGCCTGACGTGTTGAAATATTGCACGATACTCAATGACAGTGCATGCCAGACAAGTCAAGCCTGGGCGCCCCACCCTCCATCCCGAAGGGGGCGGCGTCCGCGATCCGTCCCCGTTCTCGGGGAGTCTGTTCCCCAACCAGCGCGATCTCCAGATAGTTCCAGCTCAGTCCCTCCCCTCCCCCTCCTCCCCGTTCTCCTGTTTCTCCTCCTCCTCCTCCTCCTCTTCCTCCTCATCATCATCCTCCTCCTGCGCTTCCTCATTGTCAGGTCAGCGGTGTCGTATTGGGCGCTATCACCGCTGAAAAAGCGAAGCATATATCTGAAGGCTGAAGGATTGTATCTTTGCCGCCTGCCACCCAGGCTGAGCCACTTTGTGGCCATCTTGGAGTCTCTCGGGAGCACTTCGGGGCAATTGGCCGCCTTCATGCCATCTTGGACAGATTCGTGGTCGTCTTTGGGCATATGAGGCCCATCTTGGAGTCTGAAGTCTTGGGGGAAATCTTGGGGCCTTTGAGGACCCTCCTCCTCCTCACCCGGCTCCTCCTCCGCCTCCGCCTCCTCCTCCTCCTCCTCCGCCTCCTCCTCATCCTGGACGGCGACGACGACGACGGCAACGACGTCGACGACAACAGCGGTGGCAACGCTGACGACGACGACGACGATGACGACGAGAAGAACGAGAACGACGACGGTGACATTGGCGGCGACGGCGACGGCGGCGGTGGCGAAGCGAGTCGCAGCGTCCGAGGCGAGGGCGCACGCGCGCGCCAGCGCCCGCCAGGGCCCGGGCTCCCAGCTGTCGCGCATCCCCGAGGCCGTCGCGGGGAGTGGACGGGGATCGAGCTTTGAGGCTCGAGGCTCGAGGCCCGAGGTTTTCCAGTGTTTCTCGCCTGTCTGCGCCCCTCGGAGGCTCCTCGTCGCTGCGGCCGGATCCCCCTCGAAGGTCTGGCCAAAACGCACCCCAAATGAGGCCGGGGGGTTGAGCCTGCAGGGTCGCCACGGAGCAAAAGGGGTCCTAGAGGAAAAAAGAGGGTCTGGTATGTATTGCAAAGACCTTACGGCCGGTGCCGCCGACCATGAAGTGGGACGGCGACGACGACGACGGCGGCGACGGCGGCGACGGCGGCGACGACGACGGCGACGACGGCGACGACGGCGACGGCGACGGCGGCGACGACGACGGCGACGACGGCGACAGCGGCGACGATGACGACGGCGACGGCGACGCCGACGGCGGCGACGACGGCGACGGCAACGGCGGTGGTGACGGCGATGGCGACGGCGACGGTGGCGGCGACGGCGACGACGACGACGGCGAGGGAAAACGCTAAAAAAACTCAAGGAATTGAGTCTTCAGGGCAGGGTCGCCGTGAAACAAAGTGTCCCTGGAGGCAAAGGGCTCTGTAGGTGTACAATTTTCAGTTTGTTCCTGCGGGGGAGGGCACTGGGGTTTAGTCGGGCCTGTCGCTCTACAGGAGGAATATTGAAAAATAGTATGGCGACGATTTTAGACTATTTTCAATCATTTTAATTCCCTACCTAGGCTCTGCCTAGAAGGGTTCTTACTCTCTTAGCTTAAAGGGGCCGGGCAGTGGAAATCGCCCCGGGCGGTTCCCCCAGTCCCCTGGGAGCGGTTCCCCCCAGTCCCCTGGGAGCTTTAGCTTTAGCTTTAGCTTTAGCTTAGCTTTAGCTTAGCTTTAGCTTAGCTTTAGCTTAGCGTTTCGCTTAGCTTTTCGCTTAGCGTTTAGCTTAGCTTTAGCTTAGATTTAGCTTAGATTGAGCTTAGCTGTAGCTTAGCTTTAGCTTAGCTTTAGCTTAGCTTTAGCTTAGCGTTAGCTTAGCTTTAGCTTAGTTTTAGCTTAGCTTTAGCTTAGCTTTAGCTTAGCTTTAGCTTAGCTTTAGTTTAGCTTTAGCTTAGCTTTAGCTTAGCTGTAGCTTAGCTGTAGCTTAGCTGTTGCTCAGCTTTAGCTTAGCGTCAGCTTAGCTTTAGCTTAGCTGTAGCTTAGATTTAGCTTAGCTTTAGCTTAGCTTTAGCTTAGCTTTAGCTTAGCTTTAGCTTAACTTTAGCTTAGCTGTGGCTTAACTTTAACTTAGCTTTAGCTTAGCTTTAGCTTAGCTTTAGCTTAGCTTTAGCTTAGCGTTACTGTTACTACTAATGCTGCTTTCCTAGGGGTTCCAACTCCTAGGTAGGGTCGCACTGGGATAATTTTCTGTTTTTCGTCCACAATCCCCCGGTAGGAGGACACGCCTGACCTAACACTGGGGCCGTCAACAACGGCTCTGCTCTGCACGAGAAGCTGGCCCCAGGGGGCACGCCTTGAGAAGTGGAGCCCCTTCCGAATCGGCCCTCGGGACCCCCCAGGGGCCCATGCCAAGAAACACGCTGCTTGCCTCCAGGGTGCCCTGGGTTTCTTGGGCCTCCTCGGTTCTTCTGTGGACAGCGCGACGTGCCCCCGCCAAAAATCCATGGACGTCCTGGGGTCTCAGGGTTGGGTTTCTCGTGGAACGTTTCTTGTGGACTGGGCTCCACTGTACAGTCAACCCACGTGGTAAGGAGGGGCGACCTTCCCAGGGATACCCCTGTATCCTTGCCCCTTTGGCCCATCCTTAGCGACTCTCGCTGGCCAACCTCGTTCGAAAAACGCTAGCGTGGCCCTCCAAGGCCCTTGCATCCTTCCCGCGCGACGGGGGGGCTGCCGCGGGGGGGCGACGGGGGCGACGAGCGGGAGGAGGTGGAGGAATCCAGCCTCGGGCGCTGCGGTTAGTGCGGGGCGACGACCAAGCCGATCAAGCCTCGGCATCGCTCGGGCGTGTGTGTGTGTTCTCTCGGCGAGGCCAGCGCTCAGAAAGAACATCTGGACGTCGAGGAGCATCCTGGGTTAGCTGGAAGTCGGGGCTGCTCCTCTACAGGAGGAAGATTCAAACATAGTAAACACATATTATGGGCACGATTTCTGCACTATCTGAGAGCATTTTTGGAGTATGTTTGAGCATCTATATTTTTTCGCCCAGGATCCCCCTGTAGGGGGACAGGCCCGACCTTGGCTTTGCTCGCGACGAGAACAGGACGTCACGAGCCTCTGTGGCGCACAGGGCTTGGACGCCCGAGCGATGGCAGGAAGCAAAGCATCCCGCCCGCTCTCGGGGGGGGGGGGCCATGTCGTGTGGCGCAGCGTCTGCGAAGCTCAGAGCCGGGGGGCGGCTCCGCCCCCCGGCTCTGAAGAGCGCGCTCTTCAGAGCGCTCTTAAGAGCTGCTCTTAAGAGCGCGCCACGCCGAATTCGGCGTGGCGCGCCACGCCCTCCCGCCCCCCCCCCCCCTCTTGGCCTCGTACCGCGCCTCTGCGGGACCCGCCGTTGCCGGGGGGCGCGCCTGGCAATGCCGCGGGCGCGCCCCGGGAGCGCCCGGGGTCGCCACGGGGGGTGCCTGTCCCTAGAAGGGCGTGTGGACTTTTTGCCAAGCGACCCGTGGGGATCGAGCCAGAGAAGTCCAGGCAGATCCAGATGAACCAAGATGCATCCAGGTACATCCAGGCAAACCGAGATACATCCGGGTACATTCAGGGATATCCAGAGACCTCCAGAGAAAATTGGAGCAACTCGCGGCCGCTCCAGCGCGAGTCGAATGACGGCAGAAGTCGTGAAGCCTTGCAAGAGTCTGCAGAGGGGCCTGGGGGGGCCCGGTGTCGCCGGGGGGGCCTCCGACCAGTGCGCATCGCCCCCGCCGCTCCGAGCCGTGGGCCCTCGGGGACTCCCCCTGGCTTGCCGGGCGGGTCGGGGGGCGGCCCGAATTTGGTCCGCTTATTCCATGGGCCGAGCTACTCGGCTTGCGATTGTTCAAGCGGTGCCGAAGCGTCCCGGCTTGCCCAGAGGCCCACCAAAGAATGTTCTAAGAACCTTTTGTGAGTTGCACGAGACGTTCTTGGAACATTTCTGGCCGAGACTGTTCTGCTCTAGCACATCGGGTTTATGTTATAAGATTTGTTATTGTATTGTTATTAGAACAATTTGGGATTCTAAGATCATTTCATGGTATGCCTATACGAATGCCGGGACGGTCGGACCCTGCTCAAATTGTAGGGACCACGGGGCCTGCGAAGCTATGCTTCAAACGTCCCCATTTCACTCAACAGCAAGATCGTCGACGGGGGGGACTAGATGGAGAGGCCAAGGGAAGCGCACTGTTCGGGCACCCCACGGATCCCGGCAGGGCCCTCTGGGGGCCCACGGGGGCTCGGGAGGTGTACGCTGCTTCGCGCCCCCCCCCATATGATCGCTCCCTCATGTAGCAACGCCCCGCAGCCCACCCCCACTGATCGCTCCCTCCTGAAGCAACGCCCCATAGCCGCGGCGACGAGGGGGCGCTCACCTACCGAAGGCTCGCGCGAGGACTCGCGCGAGTTCTTTGGCTTTCTCATGTCTTGCTTCGGCCCCCTCTCGTATTCGCCCCTCTTGCTCTTGCTCACTCCTTCTGCGCCACTTGCCGCTCCCCTCCTCCGCCTTCTCCCCACCCTCATTCTGATGATCTGTGCCATCATTATAACCCTCTTCTCCTCTTGTCCGTCTCCCCTCTTCGTCTTCCTCTTCCTCTTCCTCCTGTTCCTCCATCTGTCCTTCATCCTCTTCCCTTATCCCGCTCGTGCCACCGCTCCCCCCCGTCATCTGCCGATCATCCCCCCCTTGCTCCCCCCCCCCCCGCCCCTCCCCTCCGCTCCCCTCTCTCGGCCCCCATCTCCTCTGGTCCCCCTCCTCTCCGCGCACCCTTCCCGCTTTTGGCGCGTGCGAGAAATCCCGGGGCCTTGGTGGAGCCATTGCCGCCAGTTTGGGCGATCTGCGGCGCTGTCGTGGCCGAGCTCCCTCGAGATCCCCCGGGCTCTCTCCCGGGACCCTGTCGTAGACGAGTTCTGCCGCAGCCGAGCTCTCCCCCAGGTCGCCCACGGGTCGCGCCTCTCGCGCCGCCCGAGGATTCACGCTGCAGGGACCCCTTCCTTCCGGGGGGGGGGGGCCTTCGCCACTCTTCCTCCTCCTCCTCCTCTTCCACCCCCTCCTCCTCCTCCTCCTCCCTCCTCCTCCTCCTCCTCCTCCTCCTCCTCCTCCTCCTCCTCCTCCTCCTCCACCCCCTCCTCCTCCTCCTCCTCCTCCCCCTCCTCCGCCTCCTCCTCCTCCTCCTCCTCCTCCTCTCTCCTCCTCCTCCTCCTCCTCCTCCTCCTCCTCCTCCTCCCTTTCCACGCCCCCTCGACCCCCCGCACCCCCGTCCGACCCCAGGTCGAGGGCGAAGGCGCGGCCGGCACCGCCTCCAGGGAGCAGCCCTGGGAGAGCTGGAAGGCCTGGGGCTCAGGGGTCGATCCGTGCTCCCTCCGCTCCCCCCAGGCCTCTTCAACGCCGACCCTCGAGGGGAGGAGGAGGGAGGGGAGGCGGAGGAGGAGGAGGGGGAGGAGAATGAGGAGGAGGAGGAGGAGGAGGAGGAGGAGGAGGAGGAGGAGGAGGAGGGGGGAGGAGGAGGAGGAGGTGGAGGAGGAGGGGCGGAGGAGGAGGGAGAGGAGGAGGAGGAGGAGGAGGAGGAGGAGGAGGAGGAGGAGGAGGGGGAGGAGGAGGAATCGGTTAGAATCGTAAGATACAGATGTGCCCCGCCATCCTTGTCCTAGAATACCATCCTCGCCACACGCGCCGACCCCCCGCGCGCGGGGTTGTCGACTCGAATATGCATTGGCTGCTGACGCGCTTCAAGATATCACTAGCCCACCACACATAAGAACTAATCGCTGTCACATGCAGTAATAACGTGATACCCCTCTCCTGCACCATCATCACTCCCCTGCCCGAGCCATGGATCGGCATGAGGAGGGTCCGTGCGTCATAGCGCCTGATGGAATTCACGAGCAAGATCCCGTGATGTAGCTGCACTCGCGTTTTTTTTATGAGTCTTGCCAACATGTGGCGGATGCGTTGGTGGGATGTTTCTTCGAGCATGGGAAACGAGGACTGCGAGTTGTTCGCGTGTCCCCACCAGCCCATCCAGAAACGATGCCCAGGGGTGTGGTCTGGAGGAGGGGCACAGGTAAGCGTGCTGTGAAGCGGGGAGGCCAGCAATAGTGAAACTGGAGACCTCGGACAGCCTCAGGGAGGCACTCCGGAGGCCGGGGCCCACTCCACCCAGCTCCAGCTCGACGAGAGCTTCAAGACGGCGGCCCCTCTGCTCCGATCGGCCTCCTGTGGGCCACCCCCTTCGCCCGTTTTCATAAGTTGTTTTCGGAGGCGTTCGGACTCTCTACCGTTGGAGGCTTCTTGGCCCCCCCCTCCTTCCCCCCCGCCGATGGGGCCCTTCCAGAGGCGCCAGGACTGCCTCCGAGCTGCCGCAGGACTCGCGGCCGCAGCGCCTAAACCTTTGTTGGGGCATCCCGAAGGAGTCGGGACGGCCGTTTGCGGGGAGGGGGGGCCCAGACGTCCGATGGTTCGGTCTCTCCCTTGCAAGGGGAACCTTCCCAAGGGTACCCTTGCATCCTTACCTCCTCGGCCTATCCTTGGCCACTTTGGTTGGCCGCGCCCCGCTCGAAAAGCCTACCCGACGCCCTACCCGACGTCCTTCCCCACGCCCAGCCCGACGCCCAGCCCGACGTATCCTCCGGGTTGGCCGACGCCGCAACCGACGTTTCCTTCGGGAGCGCCCGTGATGGGCGGAGCTGGCGGAGTGGCGCCAGGACAACCCATCTCTGCAATCGGCGATCCACACTTGCAGAATGTTCTTGGTCAGCGGTTCGATTTGATGAAGCCCGGAAGCCATGTTCTGATAAACATCCCTCGGGGAAGGCACAAGAACGCATTACTTCGTGTGCAGGCCGATGCGCGCCAGCTTGGTGGACAATGTGAAGACATGTATTTCCAAGAACTGAATATCACGGGGGAGTGGGTGGAGGCGACACTGGCCGGCGGTGTCCGTTTCCAAGCTCAGGGGGTGCGTGACGAACAGCCACAGTGGCTTAAGTTTGGGAAAGCACAAGTGAAAGTTGCCCATGGGCGCACCCAGGACGGGACCCAGTATTTGAATTTTTACGTCAAGCATCTTGGGCATTCTGGCTTTGCAGTCGGAGGATAATTAGGAGAAGATGATCACACGGAGGCAGCGAAGTCTTCGAAGAAATGCGTTCGCCACAACTCCCTTCTTCAGATGACTTCTCTGACGGACAACCGCCTATCCGACTTCTCGGTTGCAAAAGCAAGTTTCGCCTGACGACGCGTACCTGGGATGTGGTCTCTCTGCTAGGCAACCTGAGGTGCGCATGAAGTCTTCCAAGGCCCGACGGTTCTGAGCAGGTCTCGCCGACTGCGTTGCCCCACCGAGGTGACGTGGCAAACCTGCGTTGTCCCACTGGCGACCACTACCAAGACGTTCTTGCCTTGGCCAGAAGGAAAAGGCCCCCTCAATCCCGGCGGAAGGTCCTGGGCAGAGTGCTGCCTGGGGGTGCCCTCGCCGGGCCTCCCAGATGGGGTCGGAGTAGATGGCGTCGGAGGATCGCGCCGCATCGCCGATGCATCGCCGATGCGGCTCGATGTGCAGCCCGATGTGCGTCACGTCAACGTCGACGATGCATCGCCGATGTTTCGGCGATGCATCGCCGATGCGGCTCGATGTGCAGCCCGATTTGCGTCACGTCAACGTCGACGATGCATCGCCGATGTTTCGGCGATGCGGCGCGGTCCTCCGACCCCATCTACTCCGACCCCATCCAGAATGCCTCTAGTCAAAGGACGGCTCGGGACGAAACACCGGTCCTGGGATAAGGTCGGGGGCCGAGTTGTGGCCACCGCCACTGCCCGCGTACCGTGTGCCAGACCAGTCTCTTTGTGGGCGTGGGGTACAAACATCGTGTCCCCAGGGGGTGCCAATGTTGTACACAACCCCCTCTCCGCGGTCTTCTGTCGGACCAGCGTGTTTGTGGGAGCCCGTCGAAAGACGACTCAGGATCAAAAGCCGGTCCCCTGGTGGGGTCGACTGCACCTACATGTCGGTCGTTGAAAGTAGGTATTCTTGGCTTCCCAGGTCCCCATCTGCTTCTAGCGCCTTCCTGCTTCAAGGATTAATATAATTTTGCTGTGTTTTGTTATTCTCTGGGCGGGCCTGAACCGAACCTACTTGATCCGTCTTCCTACTTATGTTTTTACATACTTCTTCCGACCTACGTGTAAGAGTGACCCTTCGCCAGAGTGACCTTTGGGGCGAGCCCATTCGGCCCCCCCGATCGCCCAAAGCGGTTCGATAGCAGCGGCCCGTGCCCTTGGGTTTGGCCCCTTCGCGCCCCCCCAAAGCCGCGCACCAAAGATCATTCTTACCCAGGGTCACTCTTTCGTGTACGGTCGGACCGAAATATGAGATCGAGGTCGCCTTGGGGAGGGTCGCCTAATGTTATTCGTGTTTGTTGGATCTCAGTGCATCCTGGAACGGGGGTGTCCCTCAAGGGTTTGGGGTGTTCTGGCAGGCGGAGGGTCTCATGTTCTTGAAGGCTGTTCTCCTGTCCTAGGTCCGGCCGTGGCCGGTAGGGGCCCAGACCTCTGGGGCGCCACGCTGTGCAAAAACGATCACGTCGCCCGAGGATCATCCGGGCCGTGATCTTCTCAGTGCGCGGGAGCCCGGGCCCTCGGCCCCTTCACGGGGACCGTTTTTTTTCGCCCTTGATCGTCCCTTTCATGGCTCTGGAGCCCAGGGGCCTTGAGGCCAAGAATGGAGAACAACTCCACGGTCGTCGTTCTCAAGACCCGATCTCGATCTTCAAGGGCGTCAAGAATACCCCTGCCCTGGTTTACCAGGCGCTGTGCGCTGAGCCTCCCGTTGGCTGGTAGGGTAAGCCCTGCGCCAGTCGCGCGTGTCGCGCGGCGTCCTTGTGGCTCTCTTGCCTTGGGAGCTTCCAGGAGGTTTACAGACCACGCCCTTGCAATCCAGTGTAGGGGCGTTTCCTCATCCCTCAAGACCTCGACCTCGATCTCGATCTCGATCGAGGGCGTCGAGGCCGTCGATCTCGATCTCTTGAGGCCCCGGAGCTCGATCTCGACCGAGGCCGTGGACCGGGCGGTCGGTGCGCAGGGCGCCCGGCACCCCAGAGTGCTGGAGATCGGGCCGGCGGGAGCTCGTGGCTCCTCCTCCTCCTCCGCCTTCTCCTCCTCCTCCTCCTTCTCTGCCTCCTCCTCCTCCTCCTCCTCCTCTGCCTCCTCCTCCTCCTCCTCCTCCTCCTCCTCCTCCACCTCCTCCACCTCCTCGGCCCGGGCGGATGCCCACCGAGGCCTGGGACGAGAAGCAGGAGGGCACCGCCGCTTCGCCTCCGCTGGGGGGTGCCGGGCCAGTCATCCAGCGCGTCCTCGACTTCTGCCCCTGCATCGCGTCTTTCTTTCATGCGCTCACTTCCGCCTCCTGTCCCCCTCCCCCGTGCTCAGACTCGGGCTCACTCAAGCGCAGACACGCGTAGACTTGCTCATGTTCAGGCTCACCCATGCTCAGACCTCTCTCACTCAGACCCGCTCAGACTCACACGCACTAGCACATCGACTCAGCAACGCTCAGACGCATCCAGACTTGTTCATGTTCAGACTCGCTCACGCTTAGTCTTCTCTTGCTCACACTCCCTTATTCTGAGACCCTTCATGCTCAAGCAAATTCATATTATACCTCGATGTACGATGTGGAGTCGTGGGTCGGGTCCTGTGCCAGGGTTGCCCCGAGACAGCACCCGCCCCGCCTTGCCGTGGTGGTGCCAGGCAGGACTGAAGGGGTTCGCAGGTGGTCGCGAGGCACTCGCCCAGCCTGTGAGCGCGGGGAAAACCGATGCACAATATAGCAGGCACGGGATTTGGGCCTCCCACGGGGGACCCGCCATGGGCTATATCACGGGCCCCTTCGCGCCCAGATTGTCGGGACCTCTCTCGGACAGAGTGGCTGCTCTGGCGGGGTGGACGCGCTTCGCGCACAGAGCCCCACGATCATCGCGATGTGACCGGCGAGGCCCTTGGACCAATCAGGTGGGTATATTACGGGCCTGTCAGGGCATCTAGGGTAGAATTATCGTTTGGGCGGGCTAGACGCATCTCTCTTTCAGAGCCCTATGATCATCGCGATGTAACGTGTAGCAGGCATGGCACTTGCTCCTCCCCTGGGGCACCCGCGTATGACAGGCCCGTTCGTGCTCAGACTTTCGGCCAGACTCGCTCATACTCGGACGCACTTGACAACACACGCACATCCGGGGATCTCTGCGTCGAATCATCGAGGTGTGGGGCCCCCGGGACCTTTCGACCCTTTCTCCAGGTCCAGGTCTCCCTTCCCGGGTAGTTCCCTGACAGCCTGAC